TTGCAGTTTTACCACAGCCAGTGGGTATATCCAAATTGGTGCTTGTGCCACTGCTAACTCTAAGGCTTCCTCCACTTTAAAAAATGCTGAAGTTTATACCTGGTCAGTATGACAATGTCAAACACTCAAGATCATTGATGAAAACAAATATTCAGTCAGATAGGCCAAAATTCTGTCTAAATAAATATCTACTGGAAAAGAGAGGGAGAAAAAAACAACCATTCTGACCCCTTCCCTCCCAGTTCAGATAGACAGTGGAAGGTGTCATAATACTAAAAGCTTATGCCTGCTGTATATGTCAAATATTTGCATCTGGTAATGGGTTAGTGTCTTTACCTCTTCCTCTATGGCTGTTTTGAACTTACAGTACCATGATTCCCTTGGGGGACATGTGTGAAAGAGGCTTTCATGGGGTCAGGGCCATCATTCCCCACCAAGAAACTGGACAAAGCAGCCAGAGCTTGTCTTCGTAAGAGGTAGTATGGGTTGAACTTGGCAGCTTTTCTGCCTAAGTTGTAAAAACCACTTGAAATATCTTACCCTATGGGGCTATAGATTCTTCTGCAATTGAGCAAGGTACTTCTGGCAAGATTTCTTTCATCTTAAAATGATGGAGTAGCGTATTATGAAACCTGGTTTATTATTTGTCTTTTTGTGTCTTGTTTGCTGTTAATGAAGCTGTGGCCTTTTAACTTTCAGTAATCGGGGTTGTGGTTAAGACTTGCATAGTCGGGCCAGAGGTGCGTGACAATGTTAATCATCACACCACAAAACAGAGGCAAGAGGAAGCACAATAACCAGATATCATGCTTAAAAATCACTACTAACTTGAAAAGTAATAGCTATTTTTAAARCTTTCTTTCTGGGTGGCTTTCTATTTTGCTTTTGGTTTATTTGTTTATAATGTTTGCCATTACCTCTTTCTCAAGATTTTCAAAAGCGTCCTTTCCCAAGTCTTCCTCTCTGGGTTTATTATGAAACTCATGTTAGAAATCAACAGCYGACAAAAATTAAACTTCATTTTCCTCAGATAAATAAGAAGGAAGTAGGTAGGATACCTGTACTTGGGGAAACACATTAGATGATGAATTTCAGGTGATAGATCAAAACAGGAAGGAAAGATATACTGTGGATTGATTTTAATGTATATAAAGCTTATATGTATAATGTATATAAAGCTTAATTTCTATGTGAAAGAGTAAGCAGGTAAAGCACAGTGCAGAAATTTGCTGTCAGCTGTGGCCTGTGTCTGTTGTGATAATGCTGAGCCCTTTATCGATGTCAGTCTGGATCAACCCATGTTGTAACTCCAGCATTTTCAGTCAAGTTAGACGAGGAGAAATGTGATCCCTACATTATAAAGAGAAGCATTTTATTTGCCTAGTGCTATTTGCAGTAGTAATGACACACAAGATGTCATTGTGTGACATTCCGTACATGCTCCTTTGTTTTAGTTGAGAAGAAACAAGGGAAAAAAATGTTTGAAGGATGGCATTTGAGGTAGTAAAAAGCTATAAGATACACAAGCTCTGCAGTCAGAGATTTGGCAAAGGACAATATTCTGTCACATGCTAATACAAGTCTAAATATAAAACAAAATAGCTTATTCCTTTATTAAAAAAAAAACATGCTTCAATCCTCTTATAGTAATAATAATTCCTGCAAAGCTTTCCACATGCAAACAGCTGCTGTTAGTGATTGGCACCTTAGAAATTGCGGAAGTTCAGTGGGTGAGTGGCTGGGCAGAGCACAGTTTGCAAACATTAATCCCCCGGCAGCTGTGGCCAGCGCGTGGAGGGATTGCCCTCACCACCCATACAGGAACAAAGGCGCTGGAGCAGCGGTTCCCTTTTCACACAGTTATCTCCTTTGAAGTCACAGCAGCACATCTGCTGTCCTCTCTATGACAGGGCAACCACTGGCACACACTGGTGGAAGCTTATTTCTCAGTAGATGGCAGCCCATAAGACTCGGGCATTTCGGATCTCAGTAGAAATGACTTCCTGCCTCATCTGTGCCTCCTGCCTGTTCTGTTCCCAGCCTCAGATCCTGAAGCCTAATGGAGACAGGCACTGATAAGATTCAGCATTTTTTTAAAGTGCTTTTCCTGCAGCAGCTTTTCACTGGATGCATTTTCCTCACAAGAACCACACATTAAAATCCAGCCCTGTAAATCACTTAAGGAGCAAAGCAGCAGGTGGCTGATATCTGTATTTCTTCTCTTCCTCCTGTGCCTGAAAGTCATCAAGGGTTGTTATCTTTGAGTGTCCCAGTTGAGATCTTCTGATACTGGTCTTCTGTCTCTCTTCATATAAGATAGAAATTCCACCTGCAAGAGCCTTTACTTCAGGTCCCATGAGCAAAGTAAGACTGTTTCCACCATCAAACAAGTCTTTTTTTCAAGAAACAAGAAATATTTATCTTCAAGAATAAGACACTCTCACTTTCTGCATAGAAATCCCTTATCTTGGAATCCAAAACTCTAAAATGCGTATCTGAATTGGCTTTTTCGTGGTATTACTAGCAATATTGTACGTAATATTTTGCTAGTTAATGGATGTGACCATTAAATAGCAGAGTCTGAGTGCAGCGGTCTATTTTGATCAGATTATAGTCACCAGGATTATAGCTTCTTCTGTGTAAATTCATTCCACATGTTGTCAGATACACCAGGTTATGCCTCTCTCTCTCTACTTTCCTATGCAAGTTCTTCTTGCTGAAGTTCTGAGGTGTTTCAAGACACGAGTCGTGGGTGAGCCATCTCCACCCCAGCTATTTGTGCCCTGAAAGAACATGCTGTCTGAATTKTCTGCATTGTGCTCAGATACTGCTATGCCAAATATCAGATAGCGTCTTTGTGCTGGAGAAAAAAAAATTAAGCAAGGTCTCTTACATAGTCATGAACACATACACTTGGAAGGTGTGTGCTAAGGTCCCTGCTCCAGACAAATGCTTAATTCTGTATGGAAACTGGTAGATATCAAGACAGACCCAGCCCAGACTACTAAATGTCTTTATGGATGAAACTCATGTGTAGGCTGAGTGTTGCTCTAAATCAGGACAAATCCATTTTTTCCAGCACCTCAGGAGAGATTTCTAATCATGAACTGTTCTGGTCACATCCTTCCTTCTTCACAAGGGGAGGTTTGGAGTGGAGTCTTGGCAGAAGAAGATGCTCCCCTGCCAAGAATACGGACACATCTCCAGCCATTCAGACACTCAAAACCTTCCAGTTTCCAGTGCATTTTGTGCCCCTTGCGCTATTTTCTGCTGAGTTGGTTGAGGAGTGTTGCACACCCATATAAATATTTGAATACACATATAAAGAGCTGAGCGAAGCAGTGACCGTGGTTTCCAGCAGGGCACAGGCTGTTCGGGGTGTGGGTGTTTCAAGACATGAAAGAGTCTTGGACTAGTTTCCATGCTGAGCTCCATTCTCATGTGTGCAGTAGGCACAGCAATGGATTTTTATCCCCTCCTTGCCTGTCTTGCTGTTTTCCTGAAGGAGTGCCTCTGATTTTTGCAACATTTGTGATGCCTTGGTGAATAGAGAGTTCTGCTGTGATTAAAAAAAAAAAAAAAACGGTTCATTACAATATTGGCACTTAAACTTTTATTTATTTTAAAGACTTCTGAATGTTTGAAATACCCTGTGGTGTTGCAAGCACTGTGTAAAAACTTTATTCCCTGACGAGGTCACATAGTGATTCCTGATGCTACCTGAGCAGGGGCTGGTGCTTTATGGCTGCTCTGGCTTTTATGTGAGCGTGGTTAAAGAAGAGAGTCCCCAGCTCCCCCTTGTGAGGATCCTCTGCTCCTGCTACGCCAAGCAGAAAACAAATGTGATTTGTGCTGCTTTTGATCAGTCGTTTCTGCAGTGCTTTGCTGCAGCTGGAAAGCAGAATAATAGTGTCACCAATTTTGAATTAACAAAATATGCCTAGAAGGCATTGGTAGCTCTTGTTCAGCTGATTAATGTCAGGCTTGTAAAGCCTGTTCTCTCCCTCCGCAAGGGCAGCGAATGCTCAAGTGTGAGATGTTACAAACAGAGACTCACCGATTTAGTGGGTCTTGGTGTTTTAGTTACAATCTCTTAGCGGGCACTCAGGACCAAAGTATGAAACAAAGCAGCGTCAAGGGAGCTCGAATGAGGTTGTATCTGTGCTCACTTTTAATTAGATTTGAAATGGCTATCCCACTTAGTGCAGCAGAGAGCCAGGGCCCTGCCTTCCCCTCAGGCCTTGTTACTGGCAACAGCTTTCGCATCAAGATCTGCGTATTCAGCAGCTGTGTGGGTAGGATTTATGTGCTGGGAAATACAGGCAGGAGTTGAAAAACGCAGAATATCGTAAAATTCAGTGTTTGTTCTCAGATGGGGAGGAAGGGCACTTTCTTTGCAAAGTGCAGGAATTCTTTGTTCTTGCAGGAATTCTTTGGTGCAGCTTTTGTCTAACAGGTATMATTTATTATGCTAATATTTTGCTTCTCAATAGTGGAATCAGGGCAGTATCAGTAGCAAGTGTATGTTTTATACCACCTGATGTATATTTTTATGGGTTTATTTTTGCCTCATGAACATTTCTATTCCTTCAAGATGTGCTCTGAGCCATTTCATTTTCAGCATACTGCCTGTCTCATCCAATTCAGCTGTAAGTTTTACTGGGCAAGGACCATATCTGGATTGTGTTTCATTACGTAGCAGTTCTGCAAAATGGTGGGGAGTTTTTTTGTTGGTTTTTTTTTTTTCCAAGGTATCATGCTGAAGGAAGAAATCTAATTTATCCCTAAGGATTTGTCAAGTAAGAAGGACATGTCCTTAGCTCCCAAACTTTCAACCCTACTGTCCCCTCAGGAACACCTACTTGCATTCACTCTGACCACATTGGAAATGATGACTGTGGCAGCAGATTTTGCTTAGGTTTCCCACTAAAAATAGAGAGGGGACTTATTTTTTTTTTCCCCCCCTACTGTTCCAATTTTCACATCTGCTTCTCTTTCAGGTGTGAACAGGAAAGTTGTCTATTCCCTGGCAGACTCTGCAGATGGCTACTTCTCAGTTGACCAGTCATCAGGAATCATTATTTTGGAGCAGCCACTTGACAGAGAGTTGCAGTCTACATATAACATCAGTGTAAAGGCCTCAGACCAAAGCATTGTGCTGACTTTATCCTCATTTGCCACCGTTACTATTACAGTGCTAGACATTAATGACAATCCCCCTGTGTTTGAAAGAAGAGATTATCTTGTTACGGTTCCTGAAGACACCTCACCTGGCACTGAAGTCCTTTCTGTTTTTGCTACAAGCCAAGACATTGGTACTAATGCTGAGATCACTTACCTCATCAGATCTGGGAATGAAAAAGGAAAGTTCAGGATTAACTCAAAAACAGGTTTGTAAAGTGGCTCTTATTTGTAGTGCCTGAGAAAAACTTGAGTATTTTGAGTAAATCTGTTGGACCCAAACAGTTCCAGAGACATAGATGCAGAGCCTGTCAATATGTAATCAGTTTCACCTTTACAAATCAAATTTAGTGTAAAAACTGATGTAAATTCCAGTTATGCTCAGCTGCCCCAAATCTAGTGGAGAATGCCTTTCTCCATTAGTGTACTGTCAAAGTCAGCATTGATGTGACATCCCAAGAGCCAAACTTTGCAGTTATGACCACTTAAAATATTTAAATGCTTACCATTGAGAAAAGCCTCAGTAATCTAGACCTTGGCCATCATCAGAGGACCAAGCAGTTTGCAGTCCTAATATGTCAGACAGTGACTATACAGTATTGAGCTATCTGTGACTGCCCTAGTTTAGGTTGTTCCTGATTTAGGTTGTCTGACAGTTGACTCCAGCTGTGCATTTTTTGGTTAACATGACAAATTTTAGAAACACGTCACTTCTGGTTTTTAAGAAAAGCTAAGAAGTGCTGCCTTATATGAATCCCATTTTTTTGAATCCTATCAAATTGAATCCTATTTTTAACAGGATATATTCTTTCTCCTTGTTGATATTTTAATCCAGCAACCAACAATAATCTGTAATTCTTCTGTACTTTTTGTAGTAGATCTCCTTATTTTCATAATATTCACAGAGTCACAGAATGTTTAAGGTTGGAAGGGACCTCTACAGATCATCTAACCCAACCCCCTGCTCCAGCAGGGACACCCAGAGCACGGGGCACAGGGTGGCAGCCAGGCGGGTTTGGAAGATCTCCAGAGAAGGAGACTCCACAGCCTCCCTGGGCAGCCTGTTCCAGGGCTCTGTCACCCTCACAGGAAAGAAGTTCCTCCTCACATGGAGATGGAACTGCGTGTGTTTCAACTTATACCCATTTTCCCTCATCCTGTCACTGGCCGCCAATTAGAAGAGCTTGGCCTCTTCTTCCCTACATTCTCCCTTCATGAACTTATACATGTTAATCAGATCCCCTCTCAGCCTTCTCTTTTCCAAGAGAAGGCTGAGGAAGACTGGCATTCAGGAAGACTGGTACAAATTTGTCACCAGAACTTCAGAGCTGAGCAATCTTAGTTTTGAAAGCGGAAGGTAACACTTGAATGCATCTGTAATCTGGAAAGCCTCAAAATGATGCAGGGTGTCCTTTATGTTACTGCAAGCAAAAATCTCCATCCTCTATGCAGGCCACTTGTAAGAGACTTAAAATAACATAATTGAGTGTTATCCGGTATCTTCATAATGTTGATTAGTGCTAACCAAATTTAAACATAAATATGCCTAGACAGCAATATTTAGCTTCACATTTGACAATGAAGCCAAGAAGATAAATCAATAAAAACCCATGATGAAGCTTAATCACATAGGGAAAAAAAAATCCTATTTATTATTCATTAATGTGTGACAGCTCCATTGTTATCAGTTTGGAAGCAGGAGCCGAGATTCCAGACAGCTGTGTGCCGATGCAGCTTGTCTGATCGGGGCTTGAAAAATAATGCTTCTCATGCCATTTATCAGTGGGAACTCCCTGCTAGCCTTTTGGAAGCTTCTCTTCAGGGCTCCTGGTTTCAACAAATCGTGCTGAAAGGTGGGATTAATTTGCAAAGAACCCAGAAAGGATTAAGAATAATGATCTGAAGTCTATAACACTTGGTTTAGAAGGAAAAAAAAATAAGGAAATGGAGGCTGTTTGAGCTAGAACAGCAGAGGGATGATGTGAGTATTCAGAGGTGTAAAAAGTAGTCGCAGAAAGGAGGAGAATAAATCACTCTCCATGACCCCTCATGAGAAATCATGAGTGGATTTACCTTGCATGTGGATGATTTCYTATAAATGACAGGAAGAAATTCCCTACTGTGATGCTAGGTAAGAACATGAGTATATTGCCTGAGAAAGTTAAGAACCTGATGCTGTTGGAGATTTTTAAGAACATGTATAGAATTAGAAGAACTTTTCGGTCTAGCTGGGACAGATTAAGTGATTTCTGAATTCCCATACACTCCTGCTCCTAATGAGTCTGTGCTAAAAATGTTTTGTCTCACTGAGGTTGAGGTTTTATTTATTTTATTTATTTATTTGAGGCCCAATATTATCTCCTTCAAGGCATTGCTAGTAATCTATGAAAAAACAATCAATGAACAAACCTCTTGGAAAGATTATGGATACACGGAAAGCAAAGAGATCACATAGATCACAAGTCTGAAAAGCATTTATCTCCTAGAGGAGATCTTGGTGCACTGGCTAACTCGTGTACTGGCTAAGTCCATGCTTAGTCACCTGAATGATAGGAAAATAATCTCTCGAAGATATTTATGCCTCATTCACTTGCATTTCACAAGACACTAAGTCATGTGTACGTATTGCTTAAGTATTGATAAAATCAGACCTTGCTGATAAAGGCTGCTTTCCTGATCCAGTTTTGCAAGCTTAGTTTTAGTTTGGTAGAGTTGGATGTCCATTGACTTGTCAGTGATTTCCATACTCTGTGTCTAGATCTCCCACAGAGTCTGTGGATGAGCTGGATAAATGGGTAGACTATGGTCCTTCACTTCTGATAAAAGTTAAGATAAAAGTAATTTTCCTGGGAAATCATTAACTGCTGTATGTCTTTTGAAGATCCTCTAAGCAGAGACAACCCAAGTGCAATTTGCATCATTCTTTAATTAAGCAACAGCTGGAGGAACCTGACCAAACATTTTTGTTTAATTGGACAGAATAGCATGGTGCATATTTGTACTACAGTGATAAATAACATGCAGTATTGCTTACTATAATCAATTACCTTAATCTATTGCGTTATTTGTCATGCTGCTATCTGTTAATATTCCCTCCCTTCCTTCAAAGGAGCCATCTCCATTTTGGAAGCTTTGGATTATGAATCGTGCAAGGATTTCTACTTGGTAGTGGAAGCAAAGGATGGAGGAACTCCAGCCCTGAGCGCCGTTACGACCGTGAACGTGAACGTGACGGATGTGAACGACAACGCGCCGCAGTTCAGCCAGGGGGTCTACAGTGCAGTCATCAGTGAGGACGCTGCCATTGGTGATTCCGTGATAATGGTGAGTTCAGGATGCTGCCACGAAGCCTTCCCTCACATGACCTTTCATCAAATACTCCTACACTAAGTAATAATGATGACTACTGCAGCGTCTTGAATCCCTGGAGCTGTTCTCTAGCCAGGATTCTCTCTGCTACTGCTTTCCAGAGAGCTGCCAGTTTTCACCAAAAAAGAAAGAACTAGTAGCACAGAATGTTTCTGTTTTTTTTCCCCAAGATATGTTGTCCAAGAGCAAAGGTATGTTTAAGGCATTGTATTTCTTTAGTCAGAACARTTGGAAACAAGTAAGCTTTATTGATAAGACAGAATTTCACTTTTCCATGAAATACATCCTATTTGTAAATAGTTGACCTGRAATGCCAGAGCAAACTCCCCCAAAACTCACAGTATTCTCATCTTGCAAATATTGGCTTCAGAAGTAAAGATTGAGTATTAAGGTTAAAATATTTTAAATTTTTAATGCTACAATACTGGAAAAGTCCAACAGGAATAAAGCTCACTTCCCACCAAATCCTAATCGGCCTGATGCTGTAATGGTGCACAGTGCACCCATGTGTAACTTCTTTGACAAAACATGAAGCTCTCCTTTGGGGATTTTGAGCAACTAAGGTAGCATACAGATGGTATAATACTTGTTTTGCTATTTTTTCCTCTTCTCTCAAAGTTGATAGCAGAAGATCTGGACAGTCCTTTGAATGGCCAGATTCATTTTTCCATAGTGAGTGGTGATCAAGACAATGAATTTTCGGTTGATCCTGGTTTGGGCCTCGTGAAGGTTAAGAAGAAATTGGACAGAGAAAGGGTAAGGCAAGCGGGACTTCTTAACTTACAATGACTTGCAGATGTGTATTGATATCRAATCTGTTGCTGGCTAATTGTGAAGAAGCTGCTTTTTCACTCTGTACTGATCATCCTAAGATGTTCCCAGTGCTGTGCTGCTTCCYTCCCGCCCTAAACCCAGCCTTGATCCTGTCTACAAGCCAACTGCGCTGCTCGAGTTCCCACCCCACACCAGCACAGCAGCTGAGATAGGCTGGGGGGGACAAAAAAGCAGCTTTGGATTTCTCCTGTGGTGGTACCGACAGCTGTTGCAGTGTTAACGAGCTGCCTGCTCCCTCCTGCGCACGCAAACCCGCGCGTGCAGCCGCGGACGCAGCCGGAGCGATTGCAGCGGGCTGCAGATCGCGGCCCCGGGCGCAGAGCTGAGACCTCAGCCGCTAATTAGCGCTCTGCAGAACACGTCGCTGGGGAGGTGATGTTACAAAGTGGCCAGGCTGTACCAAAAGTGAAGGAAGGCTTGATTAAACAGATTCTGCTGCTTTGTTTGCTCACTAGATTATTCATCCAGGGTGATTGATCACCGTTTTGCCATAGTTAGCAATTAGCAGCTTTTGGGGGAGGAAAAAAAAAACACAAATACAGTTGYCTGTGCTACTGTCAGCACAGGAAAGTGCTGCCTGGCTTCAAAGGTCTTACGACACAGAGAGATCTGTGTCTCCCCCCTGCAAACAGTGCATTCTATAAGCCAGGGAAGCCAATTGCTATCTGTTGGATGTGGGCTCAGCTGGAAAAACTCACTACAGAGGCCTGGCCACTGCTTAAAACAGAGGCACMTATCCTTTCTAAATCATCATGAAAGCAGGATTAAATTGTCTGCATTTGGTATTCTGCTGCTGAAATAACTTTGCTGCAGATTGTTGAGGCCAAGGAAGTAGTAAAGAACATGCACAGCCATTGCAATGAGATGTTATTCCCAAATATGTAAGTTTAAATTCTTAATTTGATTTATTTAGTTTCTGCCTTTGTCGTAGCTGTGGAGTATATGTATGTCGGTGTCTGTGGAGACATACACATCACTTTTACCCAGCCCGTGTGTGTGTTTAAGAACAACTCTGTTGGATGTGCATGCTGTTACGTTTTCTTCGGTAAAAACAGGCTGTAATAYTGTCTTTTGCTTTGCATCCTTGGCACATTTCCTGGATTCAGGTGCCTCTGACTCCTTTGGGAAAAAAATGAGACATGATGTCCCATCTGCTGTAATTCACCAAAGGCATTGCTGATTCCCAGGTTTCTCCAGTTGTTTAAGGAAACTGATTTCCAGAGCTCTCATTCTGGAAAATTTTGAGTTTTGCTATGTACCCTTCTGCAATATATGCAAGTGAAAGCAAACGCACACAAAATTTGAAAAAAGGTCCCACACCACTGTCAAATCTGACCTTAGTTATCCTAAGAAATATATAACTGTAAAGGGAAAAATAAAGCTTAGATCGACTCTTTCCCTCATCCAGAATTCCCCCTCCACTGCCTTTGCATCCCCTCAAATCACAGTCTTTCTCTTCCCTACAACACCCCAGAAAACTTGTTCCCTGTTTCCTTAGCGTGGTCCCATGCCCCAAAGAGACCCYGTGTTTGTAAACTCGAGTGTTTCTGTATCTAGAAGGCCGTTAATCTTTCATTCTCTCCAATTAAGAGGGATTCATGGGCAGATAAGTCAGCAGAGCTCCCTTAGGAGCATGAAGCAACGCACAGTAAAGACAATCATAAGACAGAAGGAGGCCAGCATAAGGATGCAGATCATAAAATCAAACTGTCATCCATAAGCTGTGCAGAGACAGATTTTCTGAATTGTCACATACGGGCACATCTCACACTCAGGAACACATGGATGTAGAGGGTGAAGTTTGCCATGGGTGCCCACAAGTGCAACTGCACTGAGCTGCCCGCTGCACTGAGCTGCCCACATAGTGATGAGCAGTTTTGGGCTGTTGCTAACAAGCAGGCTCAAAAAAACCTTATCTYCTGCTGAACGGAGGTTAATATCCTGTTGCTACAGAGACTGTGTTGTCCCTGGTAATCCCAAATGTTTCTCAGTATATTTAAACCACCTGCCTGTAAGCTTTATCTCCGTTCTCCATCACCRTGTTAGAAATAGTGTGTCAAATTGAGGCTTGCTCTAATAAGTAATTTATATATTATCTTGGAAACCAACCGTAAGATAAATAGAATCGGGTTGCACATTCAAGCTGCCACCCAGGAAAGCTGAACATGTTAGCTAAAATAGTAACCGCTCAGTTTGGATATTTCCTGTATTTCCTGGGGTTTTTTTTGGCCTCTTTTTTTCAGATCTACATCATCTGATATGGTTATTTGGTAATTTTAATACAGTGAAGGAGTTAGGTTTGTTGATAGCCCTGTAAAACAGAGGTTGGGACACGTTGTGGCAATAAACAGGATAATGTTATACYCAGGGCAGGGAAGGTAATGGGGCCAGACAGCTTTCCTTAGAAGATGGTAGGTGGTTCAYTGGGTGTAAGAACATATATTAAAATGCAGGTTCGCATTCATTTGATTTAATGTTTTCAYCTCTTTGCAGATATCTGGTTATTCGTTAGTTATTCAGGCAAGAGACAGCGGCATCCCTCCTTTGTCATCATCTGTAACAGTCAACGTAGACATTTCTGATGTGAATGATAATAGCCCTATGTTTACGCCTGCTAACTATACAGCTGTAATTCAAGTAAGTTTATCTTGCACATCAAAAACTTCTCTGACCTTTAAAATATGAAAGCGTTTGGTTTTACTTAAGTAGCTTTTGATGATTTATCTGCCAAAGATGTATCAAAAGATTTTGTTTAAAGGGTAAACCTGTCTGTCTTAACTCTTTGATAAGTTTCTGTTTACCGAGGTTCCCTAATCTCAGCATCTGTCACACATTTTACTATTCATTCCTATTRTGCCAGAAAATCTAATCTGGCCTCAAAAATTTGCCCCTTTTCCCATCGCTGCCATGCAGCAGCCCCAGCTGCCATCTCACACTCCACATCCTGAGAGGGAACTGTCACTCTTTCCCCTCACAAAGAATTAGCTGGAATGATAAATGAGGACTCTGATCCTTCCAGCTCGGGAGTGATGCAATGCAGAGGGTGAGGGTGGAGAGTGAACAGAGTCCTTGAAATTCCCCTTTCTGTCTGGGAAACTGTGGGTAGAGTTTCTGGTGTTTAGACAAGTAGCTGTGAGAAGCTCAAAGATGTTAGTAAAGTCAGTGCTGGAGGTCTGGGGTGTCCTGAGTTTTGTGGGGGAGTAGAGGCTGCACAAGTTGGTCTTACGTTGACCCATTTCTATGGTTTCGGCACCAAGGGGCTTGTATCAGGTGGTGTGTGGGGCTGTGATGTCCTAAGGCACGTTGCCTTAGACCTTGCTTAGGGTGTGAGTCGTAGTCCTTCCTGAGCAGACTCAGTGGCAGGCAGAGCTCACAGGAGACGCTGCAGGTACCTCCACCTTCCCTTCCAGCAGGAGGGCTGCAGGCTGTTGGCAGTAACTGCCATGGTCTAGGACCCTCTTGGGCAAAGTACATTCATTCGAATAGCCTCAGTGGCAAAACTTGCTGTTCTATCACTGATGAGATGCATCGTTTTAATTCTTCTCTTTATGCACTGTGCAAAGGAAAATAAGCCAGTGGGCACGAGCATTTTGCAGCTGGTCGTGTCAGACAAGGACTCCTTTCACAATGGCCCCCCTTTTACCTTCACCATCCTAACTGGCAATGAAGAGGAGGAGTTCTCCCTGGACCCTCACGGCGTCTTGAGATCTGCAGTCATCTTCAAGCACATGGTTGCAACTGAGTATGTGCTTTGTGTGCAGGTATGGCATTATTTTCTTTTTTTTTGCACCTACACAAAGAAAACCCATGTAGTAATAGGTCACGTGTACATTCCCTGTATGGCTTGGTTTTAATTGACTTTATTCTGTGAGTAAATACCATGTGTTATAGTTTACAAGTGCACAGTGTAGTATAATTCCTTTGATGACCTTAAACCCAATTTCATATAAATATAAATAGGTAGCCAGCACGTTTCTCATTTTYCCCCCTGAAATGGATTTTCTGAGCAGCAACCCTTATGATTTAAGATTTTCATCTTTTTTCTTTGCTAGCTAAGAGAGGAAAATAAGCAAAAATACATTATATACATATAAATACACCACAAAATGCGTGACAGCAAAATACTGTTCTAGGAAGTAAAATCACTTCTGCGTTTAAGTCATAAAYTTAATCAGAGATTTTTGGAAGCCTACCAAGAATTCATAAAGTCACATTTCCTAGGTCAACTTAGCTTTTAAAAGAACAGGGAAAATAAGACATGTAATAGAAATGCATCTCAAACTTAGTTCATTATTGGAATACTTTGTAACCAGAGTAATTTTGATTAGGGAAAAAAAAAAAGTAAATCAAAAAGTAATTTGTCCACATTTCTCAGCTTTTCCAGAAAAAAAAATAGTAGAGTTCAGTAAGTACACAAGCCTAGGGAATGAACTACAATTCTTCATTGAAAGTGGACATGGTCCTGTAATCTAATTCCAAAATGCAGACTTCCTCCGCTTTCTTGATGGTAGTTAATTTCTTTAAATACAGCTTGGCTACTCCTTTACAAGCACATCCAATGGTATTTGTAGCAATAATATCCTAAGTTAGTTCCAATTTAAAAATTATAAGCATTGATGCTAGTTAATAGTTCAAATCAAAGCAATACTTTTGCATTTTGCCATTTAATGTTCCTGCAACCGATTTTCTTTGAGCTTAGTAGGAAAATAAAGACCTTCACCTTTCATGCTCCTTGTGTTTTCATTCTGAAATAGCCCATTTTCAGGACAATTTGCTGGGCAAATGTAGCCAAAATTGGGCATGTGAATTAAATTTCAGCAGCAACATTTTTCTAGCTATATAGATTAAATATGTGATATAAATGAAATATAAGGCAAACCACAATATCTAGGATAAACCAAAATCTTTAGAAAACTCTGCTGTTGAACTGTGAAGGTCTAATTCTTCCCAATATCATTTTCTTTAGGAATTTCGATTATGAAAATGTTTTTAATGACTTGCCATTGTGTATGGACCATGTCAGCCCATGTGTTTCTTCCTCCTTCCTACCATCAGGCTCCTTCTCAGTGTTGTGTTTCATGTTATTTATGTGTATCTACACATGGATCAAATCTGGTCTAAATTCCCCCATCCAGACCTGTCAGGATTGAGGAGGAAAGATCTGTAAAGCTTCTCCTTCTGTAGTGATACACCTGTTTGATAACACCATCCTACAATTATTTCTTCAGCCTTTAAAGCTTCATTCCTGTGCAAACACATATACATCTGTGCTCAGTGTAATTTTAGTTAGCTGTTCATCTCTGAAGCAAATAAATATATGGATTAGTTTATCTTAGTAGTGACTTCAACGATATGTTTTTCTTAGTGCAGGAAAAGGACGTTGATTCAAGTTTGCACTTCATTCTGCCAAGATGGCCTTGTTTTTTTTCTGTTATATTTGATCTTTTACTCTCTATAAAAAGTGCAAACAATGCTATCATATGTGCTCTGGGTCAGAGAGTCATTTGTCCAAGTGCAGTGCTGCTCYCATATTTTATTGTTAGCAATAGTACAGACACTGTATTTCATTTTCGGAGGGTGGTAAAATTTATCTATTTCAAGCATGTTTCTCACTGCTTCAGCTGAAGTACTTTTGGAAGAGTGAACATTTTCATACTCACATAGACTAAACAGAGTTTGAAACACTGTGGAGCCCATCAAGCACCGTGTTTCACTAGGCTTCAGTCTTTCATCTGAAGGGGAACTGAGCCCAAGCTCTGGCTGCAGAATATGCTGCATTCAAATGACTCTATTGTGAAGAAGACAGTTGATGGCTGTGGGATCCTGGGAGCRTTTCATTTTGAGTAATGACACTTTCCACTGACACATTTCTCTCTGTAATCTACTCGGATAAGATATCTTTGCTTCCCTAAAGAGTTTGTATGTTCCAATGCTAGAGATTGCTGAGATGTTTTCTTATATATGTATTTAGCAAATGCATTTAGGAAGCTCTTTTGAGAGGTCTTCAGAATTACTGATACTGTGAAAATGTGTAGACCAATGAGTGATGATTATTGCCTGTGTTATATGTGTGTTTGTTTGTTTTTTCTTTTCTTTTTCCTAAATTCCATCAGGCAAAGGACTCCGGGAAGCCTCAGCAGGTTTCTCACACCTACATTCAGGTGCGGGTTATCGAAGAGAGCATTCACAAACCGACTGCCATTCCACTGGAGATTTTCATTGTGACCATGGAAGACGATTTTCCGGGGGGAGTCATTGGGAAAATTCATGCCACGGACCAGGATGTGTACGATGTCCTCACATACACACTGAAATCAGAGCAGAAAAGTCTGTTCAAGGTTAACAACCATGACGGGAAAATCATTGCCCTTGGAGGGCTGGATAATGGCAAGTACATCCTGAACGTGTCTGTCAGCGATGGCCGGTTCCAGGTCCCCATAGATGTTGTGGTCCACGTCGAACAACTGCTGCAGGAGATGCTGCAGAATACGGTCACCATCCGCTTTGACAATGTTTCCCCCGAAGATTTTGTGGGCCTGCACATGCACGGCTTCAGGCGAACGCTGCGAAATGCCGTGCTCTCCCAAAAGCAAGACAGCCTCCATATCATCAGCATTCAGCCCGTGGCAGGCAGCAATCAGCTCGACATGCTCTTTGCAGTTCAGATGCACAACGGTGGATTTTATAAGCCTGCCTATTTGATTCAGAAGCTTGCCAATGCGAGGAGACACTTGGAAAATGTGATTCGTATTTCTACCATTTTGGAGAAGAATTGTTCTGGACTGGATTGTCAGGAGCAACACTGTGAGCAAAGCCTGTCTATCGATTCCCACTCTCTGATGACCTATAGCACGGCCCGAATTAGTTTTGTGTGCCCTCGTTTTTACAGGAATGTGCGCTGCATGTGCAATGGTGAGTACGGCTCCCTCTTCACCTCCCATCCTTCCACATTATGCGATAGGATCGTTTTTATTCCTCTGATGCAGATTAGAAGGGGCATTTCAATTCAGCGAGTTAAGGCACGATTGGCTGCTGTATTGTGGGAATTGATTTCTCAGGCTCAGGGAGAATTGTCCGTGTTTACTGATGTAAATGGAAGTTGATGAACTTTGGCCTTTCCCGACAAAGACTGCTTTCCTGGAGGCTCCGTAATGAGAGCTAGCAATAAACCTTCCAGGGGAGGGAAAGGAAAAGGAGAGAAAGGCAGAGAAGAGGGAAGAGTGTTTCCCAGTCGCCTGCTGCCAATACGAGAATAAACCCCAAGTCACAGAGCGAGCTGGTCTCCGGTGATGTGCCAGCAATTTCCAAGCGAGAGGACTTATGACCTAAGCCATACGGGAGAAAAGGACCTTTCCAGTCTATTTTCACGGAAAGGAGTGGAAACCAGTGAAGTATTTTATTAAGTAATTGAGAGCAAGGACTGGTCCTGACCTTTAATGCTACAGTGTGGAGTTTTGGCTGAGTTTCAGGCTGCTTCCCAGTTTTACAGAGGTTCCACATGGGCGTATGTGACAGATACACTAGGGAGCTAATCTTCCTTATGATTCTGCACTTTGACTATAAAACCTGAGGCAGTTATAATAATAGTTCTCTTTCTTTTGTTTGCCAAGCTATTTGCTCCTCATTCCACTTCATTTCTGTGCGGAGGAAGATACTGCTGTAAAATCGATACATCTAAATCTCCTGCAACTTCAGTACACACACACACACAAACATATAATAAATCAGTAATCATGTCTCTCAGTAACCAGCCTTTGCTTCTCTAAAAGTCAGCAGAACTTCGTGTCTTTCAGCAAGAATGAAAATAGTCCCTAATGCATAAAACTTAACAAGAAATTGTATCCTGCTGCATATGAATAATAAAGCCTTTAAGTTTGATTCTGAGAAAATACCAGAATACTGCATCTGAGGTACTTCATGTGCATTAAAGAGCCGAGGAGCTGGATAGTTTTTAAATAATAGTGTTAAAAGTTTGGAAGAGATGACGTATAGTAGAACAATAGTTGGTATTTTGGTGCAGATGAAATAAGCAGGGATTTTCACAAGTTTGAGAAGAGCAATACTGCAGCATCCTCCAGCCGAGTCCTGAAGCCAGTGCAGGATCACTGTCCCCCAACACTAGGTGTATTCTTTAAGTCTTACCTTGGTCTCATTTCCATACCAAGAAATTGCAGAGCCTCGTCGCTATAAAGATGCTAATCCCCTTGGTCACAAATTTTCCTGGCAGCCAAACTTTGTGCTGTTTCTAATTTCACTTCGCTACTCCTATTTATACAGCTTTTTAATTCAATAATGGTGTATATATTCTCACCTGATACTAATAAGAAGTGACTCTCCTGCTCTTTTAGCTCAGACCCTTGAAAGGACTTTGGAATAGCTGTGCAGTGCTGGTCCAGCAGCTCTCTTTTTTTTTTTTTTTCCTGCCTGCCCAGCAAGTTTGCCCTGGAAGCATAAAAATTTAGTTAGAATTGCAATTCCCAAATTTTTCTGTCATGCCCCAGTGAATCCTGAGAGCAGATCAGAGGCTGCTCTGGGGGCAGTGCTGTTTTGCAGGCCCTCTGTGCTCCGTAGCCCCTGCACCATTAATCATGGCCACGAAGACTGCTGTACAGGCAGCTGCAAGAGGCACTGCCTTGGTCAGCTGGAGTGTTCGAAGGGTCTGAGCAGCTTCGTGCTGATTTTCCATGGCTGTTCCACAAGTATCTGAAAATCAGGCAGAGCTCAGCCCCAAAGCCTGGGGTGCGTTTGGGGCATGTCTAGGCCGCCGTCCAGCCTGTCACTAAAATGTGACCGAGCTGATGATTTAAAAAATATGGTTAGCTACCAGGTAGATGCAAATCTTGGAGCCTTGCTTGCACGGAAATAAGAGATCTTGGTAGAAAGCGGGAGTCTGTGTTTGCCTTCTACCACATTAGTCAATGCTGCAGCCTCTTCTAATGTTTTCAGTTAAAGGAGCCCCAAGAAATCTTCTGGTATTTTTGGAAATACACAAATACACACTGGGTTTTATCACATAGACCATAACACAGAGTATCTATCTAGCTCCTCTTCTGAGGAGATACTGATTAGAGAACCTATGTATAGTCCTTAGCATTCATGAATTCAGAACAAGGCCCAAAAAGGAAGAGCTTAAAAAATCTGCATACTTCCGTTAGTCAGTAGTTCTCATACATGCTTATAAATAGAGCAAATCAGGGAAAACAAAAGCCACAATAGATTTCTCACAGCTCCTTTAAAAAGAGAGCATTAGCAAGATATAATTGAAATAATGAAAGCATTGTGCTTCCTTTGTTGCTAGCAGAGTTTTGTGGCTCAGTCCAGTAAATATTGATAACTTGAAATATGAAAAAAGCATTAAAACATTACATATGTTTTCACTGATCTGATTCAATTATGACCCAGAAAGCCTGAGTTTGAGCTAATTCACTCATTCCTGAAATATGTATCATACTTGGAATGTTTTTCCCACTGGCAGATGTCACAGATATGCACAATTTATGCATGCCAGCTGTGCATAACGTACCTAGATTACCTTTGTGAGCAAACAGAGTTACCTAATGTGAAAATACGGACAGGCTGCAAAGCAGGGTGAACCCCTGGGGAGCAGCAGCTCAGTTCGGGAAGGAGAAGTTCCAAAGTTCAGATGCATCAATCTAAGCCCTTTAAATCAATAAAATTGAGCTAAATTGTTTTCCAATAACAGACTGCCTCCTCAGATTCCTGGCTCTTTTGCTTGTGTTTGTATGAAGAGTATTATGACAACCCGGGGCTTTTTCCCGGGTGAATGTGGGAGCAATGCAATTGCCATTCTCCCATCATATGACAGAAGGTATGCAACGATCTGTCAGTGCTGGTGGGAAACAGAGGCAGGAGGACCAGAATAAATATATTCCTGCAAATAGTTTTCATAGCAGGCTCGTGTTGGAGAACCGAAAATATATTTTATATTTTTGTTTTTTAATGTTGCAAAGTGTTTTTTTTTTTTTTTTTCCAAGAAAAATCAACAGGGAAAAATCAGGTTGGTTTTGCTGGAACTCCTTTGCTATAAAATCTTACTTTATTGTAATCTTCCAAAAGCGAGATTACATTAATGTGTTTGCAGGACAAGGCTGGATGGTATTCATCTTGACAAACGCTGGTATATATCTTTATCTGAGATGGTCACTCCAGGCCCCATTTCCAGACAGTGGAAAGAATGAGGTATTTTTTAATGATGTGATACATTTCTCCCTAGATGTCTAAAATCAGTCAGATGAATCATGCCCTAAAGTTAGATGAGATGAAATCCATTTCCAATGTTTAATATGGTTCTGGCTTAGTAGTTTGAAGGATTTTTTTCTAATAGACCCAAAAGCGTTCTGTGAAAATGCAGACGCTCGCATCCACGTTATTTAATCTAGTGAATAGCAGTCTTGGACCACTTTCTTGTGAAACGAGGGAATTTAGACTTTATGACTTTATGAAGCGKTTTGTGAATGTTGTAACAAAAAGAAATCATAGACTGTGAGGCATTATAAGATCTGTTTTTAATATAGAACCACATTTTAAGGGTTTTTCTGTATTCTCAGCTCCTCAGAGCACATAGTACCTCTTAAGAAATCCCAGGTATTTTTCAGGTTTTGGTATGGGAAACCTAAATTCATAGCTGTAAAACTGAAGTGTTAATACCAGGATCTTGAACTCCCACAGATCTTTCATTTTCAAGAAGCACCTAAGTACTAATACATCTGAGTTGTTCTGACAGAATAACCAGGAAAAAAAGAAGAAAAAAGCGCCCTGTCTGTTCTTGGAAACCAAGGAAGTAGAGATAAATCTGATTATTTGATTGATTGAGCTCTAGCCCTTATCACTTTACAATTTTGAGATGGGTAAGGAGAGATCTTTCTCTCCTTGAAAGCCCACAATAAGAGTGCACAATCCTGAATAAAAGCTGCTCCAGAGAGCTGAACTCTGAAGTGGAGGCATGAGTGGAGAATCATGGAGAGGGGATACTCGAGCTATAATGTAGGGGAACTGAAGGGAAGTTCAGTCAAGGAAAGGATGGAATAGATCAAATGTCTCAGCCAGTTCTTCTAAAATTGGGGCAGGAATTAGTTCATTCACATGCATTGACAAGCATGTCCAAACAGTGCCAGACAGTGTGTCCCAGCAGCCCTGCATGTGACCTTAACCCGTGGTAGACTTGTGGAGAACCAATTTTGTGATATTTGCACTCATATGCTGTAATTGCTGTTTACAATATTTGGTTACCACACTCCAAAAATAAAAACAAATGGCAGCTGACCAAGCATTCAAGTATAATGGCTATTTCCTCCCTTCAAAAATGATCATTAGATAAAAACAGCAGTTCAGAGCTTTGCTTTATTTGCCTTCTGGAGCTCTGTCTTGGAGGAGTCACCTTACAAACTTTTCTGTGCTACCAAGGGAAATATATACTTTTTCTTTTTTTGCTCATCATATGGATTCAGAGGAGGAGACTCTCTGAAACGCACCAAATATCCCAAGACACAACTGATTTACAACTGTTAAATCRTTCAATTTTCAAATTATATTTACATTCCTAGAAGTGATCCTTCCTTAGATGTGCAGGATTTAAGAAAATGTCTCAGGTAGCAAGGGAAGAGCGTTTTCTTCCACAGTATTCTGGTGGGGACATTGTAATACTTCTACTTTCATTTATAGCATTAAATTGAAGGTGATCAGTCAAATTAAAGTGGGCCTATTCAGCCTTTTCCTGTCATACACTGGTTGACACTAGCCCCATGTGTCTGTGTGATAGCTTGTAGAGAACAGCTTTGTTAATACTAATGTGAGTTTCATGGAAATACCATGGATTTTTTGGACTTGCCTGCGGGAAGAAGAGATCAATCCAAATGCGTACGTCTTGAATCTGTTATTGAATGGCAAATAGACTGTTCTTTGGAGTGGAAATGCAACGTTAAAATAATTTTATTTAAACTCAAGCCATAAATCTTTGATGTGGACAAAGTAACCTTGAATGGTTTCACAGTTTTGTTCAACACAGTTGTGAAATCAGCCTGAAAATGTGTTTCAGCATCAGCTATAGAATAATGCAGATTTGTAGCTTATGTACTTATAAGCACACAGGCAGGCATATAACATTTCCTCTCCCAGGTCTGAAGATTTTAAAACTTTTGTGACAGCTATGAAATCTGTCTGCAGCAGGATAAATAAAAAGTTGATTTGCTTGTAGTTTCCCTAAAAGAAGTGTTCTAGGCTTGCCAAGATAAGAAGTTCCTTAGTATCTTGTCAGAGTTAGACTAAATATGTTTGATACTTTTGAGGTATTTTTCTAACTGTGCAATGATGACTCCGAAGTAGAAATCAGAGTCTGAATCAGCTAAAAAGCTGGCAGAGATTGATAACAAAGCAAGCTACTCATTTATTGCTTAATGTCAAAGATGTCAAAGATACAATCCTACATTACAGGTTGTGAACATTTTCAAAAAAAAAAATCTGAAATCTCAGTGTCCCTTTCTGCTACATACTGACAAGCTGCGGGGTTTTGTCCAAATGACTTGTCTGTTTGTCAGCTACAGAGAGACTCACTTGAGTTACAACCTTACATAGGCTTAAGTGTGTTCAGAGGAGAGAGATGCTGTGTGTACACTGGTATGCTGTGTGTTCATCACCAAAAAAAAGATGAATTAAAAATAGCCTACAGAAACAGGTGGGAGATCATAAAACTATAGATTATTATAGATTATAGRTTATTATAGGTTATTTAACAGCCTGATATAGTTTAACAAATAATTGTTGTACTCTGTCGGGTTCTGGAGAATCAGTTTAAGAAACAGCTATAGGAAGCATCACATTCTCAGTTAAATTCTGTAGACCCTACATTTCTAAGGCATATAGTTCTGTAGTGCAAAACCCTGTTAAATTTCATTCGTTCCTTGATTCTTTAGGACTTAAAATATAGCTGTATATTGCTACTCTTATTCCTGTTGATGTAACCTGGCAAACTGATTAATAAAGATTGCTATGCATCATTTTCTAACTGTGGTACAGACAGTACTGCAAATCATTTACTGCACAGAGCTCTCAAACAAATGTTTGGCAAAAGAGGGGAGGATGTTAAAGATTAAATTGACTGTGCTGTACATCAAATAAGACATTTACAGTCCTTGCCGTATTTGTAGGCAGCCCATGTCCACTCTGAAACCTACAGTAGTCATTTTTCTTTTCCCACAAAATACTTACAGTGCCAGGTAATTTCAGCTACACTTAGGCTGAGGCCTGCTTGGCTTGCGCTAAAATATGAGAGAAATAAGACTCTTTCTTCCATTACTTTAGGAGACTCCCTCTGTTACAGGTTGATTTCTTCCTTTATAAATTGTACATTGAATACATGTTTTCAAAAATTAAAGTGTTGGACTAACGTTAATGTCCTGATGCAGACAAGAGCAACCAGTGTTCAAAGACTGGCAAATGGGGAGGTGCTGATTTCCTATCATTAAAATCATTGCTTGCCTGCATGGCTTTAAATAAATGAATGTGATGAGCAAAGAAAAATATGCCCATCCATTCTCAGCAACTGACTCTCGCCATGCTCAAACTGTGGTCGTGAATCCACATGAATCCAAAAAGGAAGGATGGGAATGCCTTTTTTTCTGCACTTACAAGCACGTACTTCCACAGGTGTCTCACACCATCCAAAAGTGGAACCTAAGTTCTCTATAGCAACCACAAAAAAAAAAAAAAAAMMATTGTTGAAGTAGCTAAGACTTGATATATTTAACATGAGCAGTTGTACTGCCTTTTGCATTATTGTAGACCGTGTTTGCATATCTTTTAAGAACAGGGCAAACTAAACAGATTTATTTAAAGAATTTTAAAATACTAAGTAGAAATCTGTGTCCAAACCCCAGAATTTAAGTGTTAACAATTTAGAAAGTTCTGAAGTACCTTGAAGCATTTGCATCGTGCAGAAATATTTTAAGCAACTTTAAAAAAATGGTATTTATCTGTCAGTTTAGATTATTTCCTCTAGGAAGTTAGAAGTTTCAAATTCATCTATTCTTGATAAGATTAGGTTGCATACTAGTAAAAAGTCTTTAGGAAAGAACAAGTCATAGCATTTCAAGTAATTTCATTCAAATTATGCTCTCCTCCAAATACAAAAAGAGGTAATATTTTGCCCTATGTATAACTGTAAATTCTAACTAGCTATTTAAACTATTAATCTTTTTTTTTTTTTTTTGCAATTAGGTAGTGTTAAGAAATCTAGACAAGTTACTTTAAAAAGTTCCTCACACTGAGTTCTTAGTGTGCAAAGCACATTCTTGCCTGGACATATGGAGGTGCAGATGCAGTGGGACTTGAGCTGTTACATTCAGAAGAAAAGGAGGATACACCATGGACCAGGTGCTCAGTAGGATGTGAGATTTTAGAAAAGCCAGGAGGACCTGGGAGACTGGGCAAGTCTGGCTCTGCCTTTTAATGAGSTGGTAGCGTGTCCTGTGCTTTATAAGGATGAACATATCTCTGTCAGTTCAGAGCCTGGGAATGGCCATTCCGTGTTCTGTCTCCTAAGGAGCGCTACTCTCTCCCTAACTCACTTCTCATAGATGTGCTGGGGAGAAGGGAATCGTGTTGCTCCAAGTCATTTGTTTGCTCCATTTCATATCCCTGAATTCTCTGCATACAAAGATTTGTGAGTAGATCGCTGGCCTGATGGTCACAACACCAATTATGAAGCAACTATTGGTCAAAATAGTTGTTATTGTACAGGATGGGCCCAGTGCAATGGGGAAGAACCATACAGAGAAAAACCGTATGGAGAAGAACCATAATGGCTTTGCCAAGTACCTTTCTGAAGGGCATCTCTTCCCTGAAGATTTAAATTATTTTTCATATTCTTACGGCATGCTTGGCTTGTATTTATGTGTGAGATCAATAAGTGTCTTACTTTCGTCACTGTATTGCTAAAGAGAATGTGTTTTTTTGGTTTTGTTTTTTTCACATTGCATCTCTAATAGTGTTTCAATTTATTGCAGGAGGGCTGTGTCCCGGGTCTAACGATCCTTGTCTGGAGAAGCCGTGTCCAGGGGATATGCAGTGTGTGGGGTACGAAGCGAACCGGAGACCTTTCATCTGCCAGTGCCCACCAGGAAAGCTTGGCGAATGCTCAGGTGCCCAGCACACAGTAGAGTAAAAGGGGATGTACTTGAATAACAAAGTGCTGCCATTGTCAACCTGCAGGTAGAGGTGCTACTGAAGTCAATGAAAGTGTTTAATGCTTCTCAGCACTGGCACTCAAGGCATCTGTTTATAAGCAATGTAAAAGAATGGGCTTTCCAGCTGTGGTGCTCTAGGTAGACCATGATCCAGCTTCCACTGGGATCCCAAATCTGTAAAACAGGCCATTGAGAAAACAGCACTCTTCTAGAGGCTGCTCTGCCAGATGTTTTCCAGCCATGGTCAAAATTCCAATTAAGACTTGTAATGATGAGTGAGATTACCAAAATTCCAAACTTTATTAATGAAAACAGTGCACTGTCCTGAAAAGAAAAGTTTCAGGACATTAGTTAGTTCTTTTCAGCTATGTTGTTCCCTAGGATACAAAGAGCCCAGTGGAATGGAGGTTTTCCATTGACTTCAGTGAATCCAAGACCGCATGACAGAGGGCACATGGTATTTCCACTCTCCTCGGAAATGTTTGATTGGCATCTGCCAGCCCAATTTGACACACTTAATTCAACTGCCTGGTCATCTTTGACTCTCGGTGTTATCAGCAAGGACAGATAGGTGCCTCCAGGGGGAGATAACCTTATGAATGCTGAATACTTGGAGAAATCCCTCTTTCTTATAGAAGTATGAAGAAATAGATCTTTCCCTCAACCCTTCAGAAATAATTTGAAATTATTCAGAAATAATGCAGTAAGTCCAAGCTGTCTTTCAAGTCGAAGTTGGGTTATATTTGTAGGTTTCCTCCTAAATATTTTCATTAGTTCTATAAATTTTTTAATTAGCTTGACAGTTGTAGAATTATTTCATGTATCAATAAAAGAATGTGTGTTTTCAAAATATTATTTCAGGCCACACTTCTCTCAGCTTTGCTGGGAATAGTTACATTAAATACCGAGTTTCTGAAAACAGCAAGAAAGAGGAATTCAAGTTRGCTCTACGTCTGCGAACCCTGCAAAGCAATGGGATTATAATGTACACCAGAGCAAATCCCTGTATAATTCTGAAGGTAATTAAAATAACTTATCCTTTCCACAGTTATTTTTCTTGATTATTTGTTTTCTGTTGGCTCTTGATTTGGGGAACATTGTTCTCTTTTCAGACATAGATTTAGGGGATGACATCTAATCTGTTTCATGGTAACAGGGAAAAACAGCAATTTTGACAATGGCAGCAGCAACAATAATCAAAAAAGCAGCTTGTTAGTAGTAGTCTACTTGGAAAATGCTCCATTGRGTGCTGTTGATTATAGGAACAGTATGTGTATCTGCATGCAAGAGCCAATCTGCACAGGATGTAAGATTTAGCTATTTATGATTGCAAAGTCAAAACCACACGTGCTGAAATAGTTGTTCTTCCCCTGTGTCCATCCCATGATTAGAGAATGTGTGTTCACTACTGTAAATTCCAGAAACAACTGCTTGGAATGTGAGGATGAGAATTTCTTCACTKCATGATTTTTTTTTTTTCCAGGAGGGACATTGGGTAGTTAGAGAGGCATATTGGATTAATAAGCTCTCCATGCATTCTAATTGCTTGTTGGTTTCTTGTTAAATGGTAAATATCTACCTTATCATTACTACCTTATTTGGAAAGGTAGCAATGGACTTATCTAAGAGACAGCATATATAGTATTTCTGCTAGATCCTCTATGGAATAAAATGAAGACACTGACTTCATAACTTGACCTTGTCCTATAATTCAGCAGGGGAAGAAATGACATAGAGCCTTCTGTGTCTGTGTTTGCCATCTTTACATTTCTTTTGTGTGAAGAGTTAGGTAATGTTAAGATTGCAAGATCAGTTATTAATGGGCAACAAATAATTTCATAGCTGTTCCACTGAAATATTTCGTGAGCAGGAGTATAGTGCCTTTAATTCACTAGAGAACCTCAGCATTTCTCATATTTGTATGAGACATAATAAAACCCTACTAGACGTATGTTGAAAGCCATTGTTTTAAGTTTTTAAGATACTTTTTGTTCAAAACAAMACAAAACCAAAGGCTTGGAGGCTTCCTTTGTAGTTTCCATCATGTTTCCTTTTTGTATGTGTGGGCATGTAATGCAGCAATTTAATTTTGAAAAATTCTCAGCAAAAGACAAATGGCYCTGGGGAAAGATGCCACTTAAAAACAGTAGGAGATCATACAAAGGCAGACTGCAGTAGTATTAGAATGATTATAGGAGAATTAATTTTTTTAAAACTTAGTGCTATCATGATCAAGAAATTTAGCAGCTCAGGACTGCGTATAAGGCTTTGCAAAAACAGTCTGTTCTAGTTGTTATTTTTTATTATTTCAAATATTCTGGAAATGTGCACATTGCACTGCAAGCCTATCTGTCTACCCAATTATCTGAGCTGAAAAGATTATAAAGTTTCGTTATTGTTATTCTTAATTTTATAGAAGATACGGATGGAAGTAAAAACACTAAGCTCTGTTTTGATGAGGTTGCCAAAGGGAAATGCAAACTGAACTGTGACTTCAAGGTTTTGTTCTGGACACAGCCCTCTCCCCGGCCTGGGCTTCTTTGGTTCTTAATTATTTAATACAAAAGTGTCCAGAATCACAGGTTCTTCAGCTAAGCCAACTGTCTAAGCCTACATGAAATCCAGGCATCTCATAAAGCTTCCTTAAATATATGCTGAGAATACACCTAGCTGGAATGTGTTAAATCCCAGCATTGCTCCTTCCCTCTCCTCCCACCTCTACTCCTGTAGCCACCTGGCTAGTGTCTTCAGCTGCAAAGTGGGAGATGTGCGAAGGCCCACGCAGGGCTGAAATGCTGAGCCCAGACTGCTCTCCACCTGGAGAAGTGTCCTAATCATAAGCACCTGATGGAAGATTCATGTGAAATTGGGAAACTGCAGACAAAAGTGAAAAAGGAATGAGATTATGAAAATCAAAATCAGAGAGTCCCTCATTGCAGGTGTCTGCTTTGGGATTTGAGTTGCGGGGTAGGAGTTACGTAGTTCTGATCCTGGCTTTCCATAATCAACTAAATGTTCTGCATTGAAAGATTCTGGGAGGGAAAAAAAAAATAGTTGAACGAGCAGTGACAAAACAGGAGCTGGGCTGTCCTGTTCTGAGCTCAGACATCAACCAGGTCAAGATCTTTCTTACCTCCTACCTCTGAGAAAAGTTTCTCAACTTTGGGACCTGTCTTACAGAGCACTTAATCTCAGAGCTTTGCCTAGGGCTATTCCTAAAAAAATTATGTCATGAGAGAAGTCAAGGGTTGCATAAGTGGTGCTGTGGGATTGAGACCACCATTTTCTTGCATGTGAGAGGCAGGGAGGACACAGAGAAGTGCACGGAGCCTCATGTTGGTTTTTATGTAGCAGGGTGTTTGCTCTAGCGAAGTGTATGTCCCTTTCCAAGGTCTGGGCCTTACATACTGTAAAAATGCACTTAAGTGAGAAATGAAATATTCCATGTGGGGTTTTGTTTGTTTGTTTGTTTGTTTGTTTGTTTGTTTGTAGTGGTGGTGTCCATTAGAAGATCAGGAGTGCCTAGGCCATTTAGTGGAGGAACATCAGAGTAGAGTTTCATAAAAGTGCTGTATGATGGATGAATGACACGAGGCTCAAGGGATGTAGCTGTAACAATTGTCTCTAGGGAACCAGGGCACTCATTAAATGCCCTTTGGGGATCCCTGATTAAGATGCTTTCAAGCATACGTAGACTTCCCAAGCATATGTTTCYCCTCCAAAACAGAGGTAAAGATATCTGTTTGGGAGGTTTTGTTGTTTTTGTTTGTTTTGTTGTTGTTGTTTTTGCTTATTTTAACAGATATCTAAGTTGTGAGATAGAGAGGTGCTCAGAAAAGAGGCCATTAGATAGATTAGAGGTTCGTAAGTGTGAAGTTGTTATTGTTCGAGCATGGCTTTCAATTAAATTAAACACGAGGAGATGCTTTCCAAATAGAGGATAAAAGATGGGATCCAGTGCTCTTGTGAGCCCTCTRGCACCACTCCAGCAAGCCACTTAATCACTTGCTTAACTTCCTGTATTCAAAGGCAATTGGAACTATTTACGTAACTTAATTTTAAGCTTGTACTTAAGCATCTTGCCTGTTTAGCACCAAAGGGCTCCATACAAGAGCCCTTTCAGTCCCAAGCAGTCCCAAGCAAAGATAGCAATAGAAGAATTTTACATCCACCACGTAGCAGGATGCAGTAGGATCCTACTATGGATCCTAGACCTGCCTAGGGATCCTACCACCACCATTGGGGCATTCCATAGCGTTGATCTTTTTCAGGCAAGTCTCTCCCATCGCAATTCTCTCCTTATTTAAAATTTAATGTAGCCATATGGTTTTCAGTGTTAAAATGACCAGCTTAATTTTGGAAGCTCATGCATTTATGATAACTCCAGGGCTGGGAATATTTCATAATCATAACACAGTGTCCTTCGTGGATGAATAATCAATTCCATAGAGCAAACTGCTTGTTTGCTACCAGACTGAAAGTGCACAGCTACGCTGTGTTGATGCAATATAATATGGGTGTTATTTATTCAGCTGTTTCAAATAAGGCAACTGATCCATCGATTTAGAGAGACTGGCTGTTCTTTTAGCTCTATACTATTGCTTTTAAGACAGTTGAAGCAAAATGAGATGCAGGTCAATAGCCCTTTTTTTCCTTTTGGAAACATTATGTGTATTGAAAACAGTGTCACAATTTTCTTTTATCTAGTATCTGTGTGAAAAAAAGTAAATTTAAAACATCATAAGGACACTCAGGAAGAGCATCCCCAAATTTATTCTCTTCATCACAAAGTATAATTTAGATCCCACTAATTTAGCAAAGTTTAGAGAATTAAAAATAAAAAAGGAAAGGCTTTCCCCTCATGCTGGAAACAGAGGTGTTTGTTATATAGCAAAAAAGAAGCATTTGTTCTTTAGTCCAGGCAGCTAATGTGAAGCTTCACATGGTGCGGTTAAGTGTGTATTATGCGTTTTAAAGTATTACTGCTGCATGGCTTACGCTGGATAAGACTGAAGCTTGGATATGATCCCAGTTATGGCAGGAGTTGAAACAAGTAATATTTTAATTAAATACACCATTTTTACACAAATGAATGTGAAGTGTAATTCAGCTAACAAAATATTTCCCCAGATAGATTAGCAAGCAACGTGCTGTATCCGTGGTGTGTGGCTGCAGATGGACTGTGTGAGCCGAAGGTGGTCTCCAAAGAACCATTTGATCATTTTACTACCTATGTTGATATACAAATATGGATGTTAGCCAAACATCTTAGGGTGATATTCTAATATAATTTACAATATGCCTTTGGCTGTGTTTTGCTCATTGAGTGTTTTGCTCTTGAAATATAACAGCTTCTATCATCTTTTGGAGCCTTCTCTGTTCTTTGTACTTCTCTGCTCATTTGATATTGGTGAGGAATGTTGTATCTCTGATAGCATACATGTCCACTGACACCCCGTCCTAACAGCTGTAATGAGAGATGCTGTAGCTAAGGCCAGAGAGCTCTGAGAGGCCGCCAGCTGCGAGCTTGGTGGAAAGCCCAAGTCCACCTCAATGAAGTCCTTCTGTCCTGCATGGAGGGGCTGGTACTTCCAGCCATTGGTCAGACCTGCTTTTATTGTCCAAGTAACTGCTAAGCCTGGACCTGAGCACTGGTCTGTCATTTGGTTTTGTAATATTCACTTGCATGTATCTCATTTAGTCAAAAATTAACATAATTCTCATCTTTTCTTGACAGTGAAGTTTAGGCTCTACTTTAGAGCCTGCTTTGAGCATGCAGCAATGCCTCTCACATCACAGGGACTGCCAGGAATGACAAGAACACCAGGGATGAATWGCTGAAGATAGTGGTCCCATGTGTAGGAGTGAGGACATGGTTTTATCCCTTTGTGTGGGGGACCCYTTTCCTTCCTGCCTGGCCAGAAGAGCTGCTACATGGCCAAGATACCCGCCCTTTTGGCTGCTCACTCATCCCAGGCAGTTCTTGCTTTTCCTGCTTCTCAGAGGAGCTTGATTCCAGTGGGGGATATTAGCTCCCACCACACTATGTGTCCCACCCTAGCAAAGYCTGTGGCTCCTGATTAATTAAAGTCTTTTTATGGCCCCATCACTACRGGCATCTGAGAATGCCATAGGCTTTGATGTACTTATCTATAAAGCACTGGTGTAAGGTAGGGAAATGAYGTTATCCCTGTGTTGCTGATGCAGACCTGAAGCTAATGACTTGCTTTAGATCCCAGAGGGGGGCTGTTGCACAGTATGAATTCCCATGCGTATCTGTCATGTAAGTGTTGGACTGTCCTTCCTGCCTTGCAGTCTAGCCTAAAGTGGCAATTACTAGTGCTTTTTTTTAATAAAAAGGAGACATAATATTTCAGATAATATATATTTACTGTGAATCTAGATTATCTGAGGTGAAAAGAAATAAAAATGGAGGAGAAGAAAGAGAGAAAGAGAGAAAGAGAGAAAGAGAGAGAGAAAGAGAGAGAGAAAGAGAGAGAGAGAGAGAGAGAGAGAGAGAGAGAGAAAGAGAGAAAGAGAGAAAGAGAGAAAGAGAGAAAGAGAGAAAGAGAGAAAGAGAGAAAGAGAGAAAGAGAGAAAGAAAGAAAGAAAGAAAGAAAACATTTTTATGGTTAATCTTTTAAATCATGGATTCCCAGATGTAAATGGTGTAATATTTATCCCAGGTGCTCATATTTGTGCTGCATTTAGC